CGCTGATTTATGTAAAGCGATAACCGCCAGCGTGAAACCCATAGCATCGACATTGCGCACCACTCTACATGATTTATACCGTTTACCTAGAACGATAGTGACCCACCCTAACCTGCCCTGCGTAGTTTTCTCTGTAGCTACGTGCAGTAGTAGGTACATTGGGTTCGACTCGACGGAAGAAAGAGAGAAAGAAACATAGCAGAGGTACAAATTTACAAGGGCTTCTAATCCTGCGGATGCGAGAGGATCTTTTGATGCTTCGACTATACATATATGTATATACTCATAATGATCTCATTCGTGAAGATATAACCTAGAAGAAGACTTGGAAAGGGATGAGATTCGATGCTTGGGGCGTAATACGATATTAATAGCTGTCCCCGGCTCTACCCTCCTATATCTCCACACATACACGCGCGCGCGCGCGCGTATCAGCTTACCTCCCCGCTCTCCTTACAGGAATACCCGACTAACGACCAATTCGGTATTATCCGTCATTTCGCGTTCTTTCGCCCAGGATAAATCCTCCAAGCCATAACTCCCTCCTTGCTCGGGTCCATTTCTCCGCGGCATCGAATCTCTACTATTTCCTAGAGATCTCGTAAAAGTCGTTATGACTCCCGCGCGAGTATACTATATATCCTGATCCCGGCTCGATGGACATACATATATCCACACATGTGTACATATATAACGTGTGATCGAGAAATTCCCGTCGCGAAACTCTGTATCTTGCATAGACTGTAGACCAACGTACAGACAAGTTGAACGAATGACGGTACATAAGAGGAAGAGAAGAATCGATCCTCATCCGCGACGAGTGTCGGCCGATGATTCCGAGATTAAATTCCATTCTGGCTCCGCATAAGCTGGGCATCGATATCAGGACGAGCATTACGTCACTCTTGTCTATAGGCTCTTGCGGAATGAAAGGGATGAAATGGACCCGGAAGACGTAGCTTTGATCCGCGAATCCTCCTTCAGGCGAATACTTGGTCGTATGTATGTCGGGTCTTAGAGAGCGTCGATTACACGGAGCGTGGGAAATGGGTGGGTAGGAGAAGAGGGGGGAGGCAGTCTCGTAAAATCGATTTGCCATCGCGGCGAATAAAATAACGATGCGTTTTGCTGCAGCGCGGTGAACCCGACCCTACTGTAATTAACTGAATTTCACCTCCATCCGCGTCCAAGAGCTCTTTTTATCTGCTGGCTGGGCTCCGCGAGTCTCGGGCGTCGCCCCCCCCCCCCCCCCTTCCCC